GCACAACTCCACTGCCAGCAGGAAAACTGAGCAGATTTCTAGAATGAAGACAGCTGAAAGATTTCCAGGGCTTAAGCTAACTATGGCCTTCTTCCCCATACACAAACCTTCTAGGCCAGATGCTGGCTGTGAAAGTTGCATTACCTAGCTTGGGTAAGATGAGAGATAAGCTTCAGATAACAGAAATTCTTATGCCTCCACTAAAGGTTTACATTGCTGCCTGGGTAACTAAACACCTCACACAGAGCTACCAATTTAAGCAATGCAACAATCCTCAAAAAAATCCCATCAGTAATGAAGCTGCAGCAAATCACAACAACTCACAGGTCACCTCAATGTGACTCCAATACCCCCCACTAATGAAACCACTTTGCAGACTGGGAGTAGCCCTTCCAGACTAGGGTAGAAAATGAGATGAGCTTTAACATCTTTTGTTTTCCTAATACAACCCCTCTCTGAAATTAGTTTGGTTTTAACTTTGTCTGAGACAAGGACAAGTCTAAAATGAGCTTTCAAGGTCTCCTTCCTTTTTAACAGTTCAAGTGCCAAGATGCAGCTCAAAATCCTACAAGGCAGGAGTTGCTCTCTGTAGACTCCCTCTTGCAGAAATCTCAGTTCATGGTTCCAAGGAAACATACTACAAGCAACTTACTAGGGGCTGTGGGACCAGTGGTGGTGTGACTATCATCATCACCACACTTAATTCTGAGAATAGTCCTTGAGTTTTGAGTTTATGTGTATGAAAATATCCTCCCTGTCCCTTACTCTAGAGATCTAACCTTATCTCAGAGCCTGCAGCTCTGACACTGTGGGACCCTGGCACACAAACCATACAGCACTGGCTCTACGACTTCCAGCCTGGCTCTGCAAGGTGACCTAGCCAAGGGTGCACAAGTTTCCCCTCAGGGGGCTGTCTGGCATCCCAGAAGAATGGAGGTGTCATCAGCCCCCTTTCCACAGCAACTAGGAGAGCAGGACAAAATTTTCCAGTCACATCCTCACCCTTTCCTCCACAATCCAGCAGCAACATAGGAACATCTGGAAAAAAAACAAGGGAAGAAGAGACTTTCACCTGTAGCCTTGTGAGTAAAATGCTCAGCAAGGTTTGGAAGTAGAATGCTACTGAGAATTAGAGCAGTGAGCCATCATCACTCGCAGTGTGCTGGCATGACAAGTGGCTTCACAGAACATCTGAATCTCGTAATTTCTCTTTGCATTGTGAATGATTTAAGTCCCTCAGGCTAAGATTACTAATTTAGGCAGTCCTGAAGATGGAAAGCATCTCCTTTGTGTACATCACTTGAAGAAAAAAGTAGTATAATACCACCTTCCTATTTTATATGCAGTATGGGGTAGAAATTCAGTGCCTTTCCCAGAGTCACTCTAAAGCAAGTCTCCAGTGGCAGTGGTAACTGAGGGTGAGAACACCTTGGGAAAATAAAAAACTGATACTATCATATGCTGGTATAAGATCCAAATAACTGAATTTTAAAGAGAGCAGTGTGTTTGACATAAATTTCTTACTCCAGTCCTCCAGGACCTTGTTATCCCTACTGATATATAACGGCTGGTGACACAGAAGTCAGTTTTTGTGTGAAAGCCCAAACCAGAACTACCCCGGAAGGAAGTACTTGAGAGACAAGTGCTTATAGTAAAATGACAGGCTAGAACAGGAAAATAATTCAGAAGATGAAACCTTGGGTGCAAACCCTCAAGGGACACTGGCTGTGGGGTGCAACAGCAGCATTTACAAGTCAACAGCTTTAGAAAAAGGTTATTTTCCTGGTCTCTGTCAGTAAGTTAAGGGAGCTTCTGGCCTACGAAAGCACCTGCATATAACAAGCAGAGACACACCTGCAATTCCTCCCTTCTGCTCAGCAGCACTTTGAAATACCTGTCAAAATCTGACTTTGTTTTGATCAGATTTCTACCTCAGCAAATTACTGTTTGACTTTTGCTGTTTAAATATAAATTTGGCTTTCTGAAATATCTTGGAATCTGAAGTATCTAAACACAAACTGTAAAGAAAGGGCCACAGACTAAGCCTGAAATACTAAAACACTGCATCAGGGACTGGCCTGGTTAGGCTGTTTAGTCTGTTATCCTGCTGGCAGTGGAAACAATTAGAGATTTTTAAATCTTCCCACTCACATAAACTAATGATGATGACGCTTCCCTAATAATTAATTTTGTGGCTCCTGCTTGGCATACTTGTTTCTGGATGCAGAATGGACATCTCCCTCCTTGCAGAGCCAAACATGCAGAGATTTGATTAAGGGGCAGAACAGGAAGCCACATGAACTCAAACACTAACCATGAACTGAGATCAAATCTCTTGGGGAGCACCTGCAACCTCTCCAACAAAACCCATTTATTGCCCTTCTACAACTTGAACAGTTACAACTCCATGCAGTTCATCTGGGTTTTGTGGTGTGGCTTTTTTTCCAGGTGTAAGAGTGCTAATGCTCCCAAAGAGAGGAGACAGTGAACTGTCCCATGCATGACAGAGCCAGACAGCAGTGCAGAATGCCACAGAACACGTATGTGCTCAGCTCCTCAGTATGGCACTCTGCAAAGCTCATAAACAGCTCACACCATGCTTTCACATAGCTTTGAGAACTGGTAACAGGTTGGTCCAACAGACAAGATCCAAACCACTGAATGAGCTCTAAAGAAACACATAATGCAAGCTTTAACATGGTAGAGTGATGGAAAAGGAACAACTGAGCAAAGCACAACATGAAGTGGACACCATCAAACAGCAAGGTAGAGCTAAAGCTGCACATCACCATCACATCAACCTCCATCAAAGAAAGAAGCAAACCCCCATCCTCACAGTCAGACTGCTCACAATTTACTCAAGTTGCAGTCTGAGGAAATTAATAGACATGGACAGTCTATTTTACTCGCTCAGGTGACAGACCTTTCTATACTTGCCAGCATTTTCTCCACTGCACTGGCAATCACTGCTCCAAGGTGAGCTGGCACTGTCACAATCCACGAGAAGCTTCAATAACAACTGCCAGCCAAGGAGGCACAAACAGCAGCAAGCCCCATCCCGGCACACCAACAAGATTTCCAGTCCCAGTCTAGGCAAGGCCTGAGATAATGAGACACGCAGGGTGACACATGAGCCTGATCCAAAGTCATCTGAGGCCACAAGGGACCTGTAATGGCAGTCCACAAGCTTCAAAGCCACATTACTCCCACAGAAATCCATGTGCATGTTGAAATTGTGAGGTACATGCAGGGAAGGTCACTGCTTTATCCCTCTGAACATTTTGTGTCCAGCCTCTCTGTGCTCCTGACACAAAAGTTGTTGAGGGCTCCTCTGCAGAGGACATCCTGCCCTCATCCTCCTCTGTGATGCTGTAAATCACTACAGAAGTGGCCAGACTTGCTGCAAACTCTCATCCTCTTAACATCCAACTGCCCTGACCAAATTGCCTGACGGATAGAGAAGGATTGATTAATATGGGAGAAACAGAGAAATTTCATTTCAGTTTGACTTTTGCTGTTTAAATATATAGTTTTCTTAACACCTAAACTGCAGCACAGATTCAAGATTCCTGCAGAACTTCAAAGATGCCTGGAGGACCAACTCATTCAGTCACAGGCACTCTCTCCAGCTGTACTTCTGGGGAACGTCACGTGAATTAGAGAAACATTTCCACTTCTAAAATCTGCTGCTCTGTCACTTTTAACACCGCTTGTTATCAGCTAACTGAAGCAAGGCTGAAGTGTATAACACCACGGCATTTTTCTTCTTGAAACAGAAAGTTCTGAAGCTGCTTGACAAATTCTAAGGACTCCACAGGAATGTTGCAGGCACCAGTATGAAAAAAAAAATCTATTTATGTTGGCAACAATTAAAAAAAATTAAGCAAGTGAGACTATGAAATACAGAGAGAATCACCCATGGTGACATGTCATTCCTCTGCCCCTCTCATAACTTCCAGGCTTCAGTCCCACTGACAGGGCTCAACAGAGAAAACAAGCAAAGGCTCAACTCTGCCAAGCCCAGGAATGCAGCACAAAGGCTTGCTCCATACAGCAAGCTGTGTTGCCACGACAAGGAAGACCCTGAATATGACAGTACTGCAGTTCCACTCTGCACTTGGGTGTAGTCCTTTACTCAAGAGAAAGCTGACTCCTACTGCAAGTTCTCAAACATATCCCTTCTCCAGCTGCAAAACTCTTAAATCCAACTCAGAATCCCACCAGGAAACAAATACTTGCACTTCCAACACCTTTCTGAGATCTAAGCACTACTGACCTAAATGATGGATCTGTGTCTCCAGGTGTCAAGCGACAATACTTCGATTTCTCCTCAAGGGTGCCAAGGGAGCATCAAGAGGACCACAGAACAGAGATGCAACAGCTCAAAAGAGATAAAGAAATGCAGCTACACTGCTCAGCAGCAAACTGGACTAAGACATACTTGTCTCTGATGCTGGCACAAGTGCTGGGCTAGAGACCACATCCCTGCCCTATTAACACTGCCCTGGCACATGCTGCTTTACTTAACCCCAGCCTCCTTTATGAAACACTGACATATGAAGTAAGTCCGCATGGGGCAGAGAAATCTACTGGTCAGAAAACCCACACACCTGGGCAGCCTCTGTGCTGCTCCAGCACAGGCTTCCCAGACAACCTGAGCCTGTTATCCTGCCTCAGCTTCCCACATCCCTCTCAAGCAGCCGTGCAGGGTATTGGGGAAGGAGGCAGCCTATCCCTCCCTCACCAGTATCTTTAGACATATAACATTAAAAATACCTTGTGCAGAGCCCACACAGGCCTGTAACACGCACAATTACATCTTATTTACTCAGACCCAGTACCTCTCTGAAGCGTTTCTGCAGGATTTGCCCAAATGACCAGCCCACCCCTTCGCACCAACTCGCAGTTCTGACCCAACTCCCATTGCAAACGCAGCCAGAAGCAAACGAAGCAGAGCACGGCACGTGCACAAAGGGGCCAAGCGCAAGGGCTGAACCCACCCAAGGCACACGGTGCTGTCGGGAGCGCGGCAGCCCCGGCGCTGGCAAAGCCCCGCGCCGCTCCCTCTCTCTCCGTCTCCCTCGGCCGGGCTGTCCGCTCCAGCGGGGATCCCCCCGGGACCCCTGCCCTTCGGCGGCCCCGGGGCGGGGGGCGGCCCCGCGCCAGGCCCGGCAGCCCCCGCAGCCCCGGCCCCTCCGGGCGGTGAGGTCAGCGCGCGCCGTGCGCATGCGCGGGGACCGTTACCGGTCGCCATGGCGACCCCGCCCGCTCGGGAGCCGGGCCCGGGAGCGCGGACACGCGTGTGCCCGGGAATGCCACTCCTGTGCCCGGGAATGCCACTCCTCTTCCCGGGAATGCCACGGCCCCGTCCCCGCTGACCGGCCTCCAGCCCCTGCCGCGCCCCCGGCTGCTGCTCCGGCCGGGGCAGGCCGGAAGGCTGTGGGGGAGCCCCCGGGCTGGCGCGGACGGCGTGAGGGCCCCGCGGAGCAGCCGCGGCACGGCCGGGAGGCAGCGGGACCCCTGCCCCGCCTCCTGCTCCGGCACGGCTCTGGAGCCAGGGAAATCCACGCTGTCTCTGGGCAAGCTGTTCCAGTGCGCGGTCACTGCACAATAAATAAGTTCTTCCTCGTGTTCAGGCGGAAATTCCTGCGCATCAGTTTCTGCCTGTTGCCTCTTCTGTTGCTGGGCTCCGCCGAGCAGAGCCCGGATCCATCCTCTTGACATCCCCCTTTAGATATTTATGCACACGGATGAAGTCCTCTCTGCCATCTCAAGGCTGGACAGCCCCAATTCTCTCAGCCTTTTCTCATACCAGAGATGCTCTAGTCTCTTAATGATCTTTGTTGCCCTCCCACTAGACCCACTCCATGTCTTTTTTTTTGCAACCTGAGTTAAAAGCTGCATTTAAAAGCAACTACTTCTTTCCCCTTCATGGAAAAATTTGCAGTACTCCCACTCTATAACTGAGGTGAGAATGGGAAATAAATGCCCTGTGCAGAAGCTCTTTACCACCATGTATTCGGCCATCCTGTTCCCTGGGCTCATGACTGCTTTCTCCCTTTGGATGTGGGGAATGAACCTCCATGTCCCCTCAACCCTCTGTGCCCTCGTCCCCTGTGCTGTGGAAGGCAGCTGGCTCCATAACACTGCAGCTCCCAATGAGCACCACAGCAGGGGAGAGCCCTATGGAACAAAGGATCGATTTCCATTCATAACTTCATGAAATAATAACGCCCTTCTCCTTGGCTCACAGCTCTGGCACAGCAGTGACTTCTGGCAAGCTCCCTCCCAATAATCCAAGATTTTCCAGCTTGTTCTTTTTTGCCATCAACTGCTGCTCTGGGTGAAGCCATGGGTGCAGGCCGAGCGCAGTCTGGAACAGGCTGCACAGATGCAAGAGAAAGCTGGGGATATTAGTGCTTAAAAGGATGCCAGGTCTGAGTAAACTGAAAGCAGGTGATTACAAACCAGCTTTAGAAATTACCATGGTTCTCACCCCAGGCAGCAGCTAATCTCCTGAGAGCCCTAACTGGCTAAGCACTGCCCACAGCACAGACACCACAGCTCTGCCTCAGCACAGCCCCTGCTGAGTGTTTCCCCTCCCTGCCTGGGCTCTTCTGCAAACAGGACTCCTCCAGTGTTTTGCCCTTCTCCTGTTCTGCAGTCTCCCAACAGCACCTGAGGACAGAGATCATGGGTACATTAACAAAGGACCAATCACCCCACTTTGGATCTGCTAGAACTGCAGGCAAAGTTCTCTCTGAGAATCCAGATAGTTCCTGCTCTGTTCCCAAAATACCTTCCTCATCTTAAGCAAGAAAATGAGATTAAAACGGAATAGTAGTAAGTTAGGTGAATTTTGATAAGCAATATTTTGTTTAGTTTTAGTAAGAAATCAATAACTTTGTATCACACACTTATTGTTGCGTGTCTCACATTTGCTGTAAATTTATTCTCTTCAGTATTACAATGAAGAAGCATTTACTTTGGAAATCTCCCAAAACTGCCTTCTGATATAATTGTATGTTTGCCCTTTTTTCACAGATTCTTACTTCTGGTGATTCTACATTCACTGTTTTGGCAGCCTAAAGCTTTGTAAAGAAATGCTGAGAAATGCAGCTGGCATAGGTTGAAGTATTTTTTTTTCTCCCCTCCTAGGTAAAACTTCATAGAAAATATTACTTTTGTTCTCTTTTTTGTTGCAAGGCTTCAGGGGACAACAACTGCACAAAACCTAGAAGCTGCCTTGTGCAACTGGCAGATTGTGGACATGGTCTTTATGCGTTTTCTTCACATTTTTATTTTAAAGCAGGTAAAGTCTGCACAGAAATAAATTTGTCACATAATCAGCTCTAATACTTGGATTTTTTTTTCTGTTACTACATGACTGTTTCCTTGCTCCCTGCAGAGACTTTTAGAACAGTTTATGCCTATATTCAAGATATTGTTCCATGAGCAGCAGCACTGATGATGCCTGGCTTCTCAGGGTCTGTGTCCTTTGTCCCTCTAATCCCCCTGCTCTCTCAGCAGCCCTACCTTCCTTTGTGTGTCCTGTGCCACTCCCCTCCAAGGGGACACGGTGGCAGGTGGGTTACTCCAGGGCTGTATCCCAGTGCAGATGGAAGGGCAGGCCTCCATCACAAGGGATCACACCACGCCCGAGCTCCCTGCTGCCTACCCCCGAGGCTGGCAATGATTATTTCTCTCTTCCATTCTCATGAAATTTGAGATTGTTTCCTCCCCCCTAAACACTGAGAAGGGAAAAGGAGGGGGTTAGCCTGACAGCTGAATAGAAGCAGACAGACAGACTGGTCACATAAGCCTTGTTTTCATTAGGAAAAGAAGTCAAAAATACATTGCAACCTGCAGGTTTTCTTCCAGCTTTTTAAAAGGAGGAGGTGAAAGCGCTCTTGTGATTCTTGGTCTTTAGGTTTCTCAACATCAATCTCAGTATTCTTTAATTCTGCTCTTGATTCTGAGGCACAATCCATCAGCATTCCCAGGGCCATCACTCTACATTAGTTCTGGCAGGCCTGTGACAGAGCTGCACATCCATGGCCTGCGACAGCTCCCCATGGAAACACCGTGAAGGCACGGCAGGATACCCCAAGGGCAGCCAGATCTAAGCTTCTGCATGGAATCCAGTCTGCAGGGATACCTCGATTCTTGTGATTCTTGGTCTTTAGGTTTCTTAACATCAATCTTCAGTATTCTTTAATTCTGCTCTTGATTCTGTGGCACAATCCATCAGCATTCCCAGGGCCATCACTCTACATTAGTTCTGGCAGGCCTGTGACAGAGCTGCACATCCATGGCCTGCGACAGCTCCCCATGGAAACACCGTGAAGGCACGGCAGGATACCCCAAGGGCAGCCAGATCTAAGCTTCTGGATGGAATCCAGTCTGCAGGGATACCTCGGCTTCTCCAAAGTTATGGTTAACTGTGCTATTGCTAAGGAGCCCTTGGGAATTCATCCTGGGGTGCAGAGAGGACTCTAAATGGAGGAAATTGAAGTAACCACTGGAGGAGCTGCTGCCATCACATGAGACTGCTTGACCAGGCCTTCACTACCAGTGGCTCAGCAGCAGGCATTTGGCAGTACCTTTATCCATAACATACCTAAAAAAGGTACTTTTTACTATGCTGTCATTTCTGAAAGTCTCCATTTACTTACCTGTCTCCAAAACAGAGAGACCAGTGCAGCGGAAAAGTCTCCTGAGAGGATACTGTTCCCAGTGAAGCTGCAGGCATCTCTCTAATCAGTCCACTGCAAAGAACCCTGCTCCCTGCTTGCTGAGAAAGGTTGGACACAAGGAGCTGTGTGCTTATACACGTGCAAACAGAGCACAGCCCATCTGCAACGTGAAAAAAGACATGAACTTATGGACATCTGCAGCAAGGGCACAAAAAGCTTTAAGTAAGGGCAAAACAAAGTCAGAAAGCTTTTTTAAATATAGAAATGTAAGGATAGTCTAGCTTTCAATTACAAACATTGCTCATTCAAATGAAAACATATCAGTAAAACTTGTGGGAAGCAGATGGATGGACTATTTCAGCAGAAACACTGACTATACCTGAATGACCTGCTCTTCCCCTTTCCTTCAGGGCCCTTTTGCACAACATCTGCTCAGGAATCTGAGAGCCTGGTGCTTCAGGGAGAAATGTTTTTATTTATGAATGACAGTATGATGATGTAGCTGCCCTTAACAGCAGAGGACAGCAGTGTCAAAGCCTGGCTGTCCCTGGGTTGCTTTCCTGGAGTTGGCACACTGCTATGCAGACTTAGCCACATTTCCTTTATGTGCTGTCCCAACTTGACTGCTTGCATGGCTAAGGGGGAGAACAGCTTCACTGACTCATGTAGCAATGGATCTCTCCCTTTGCCATCTCCTGGCACTTACATCACCTGCACAGCCGTGTGCCATGCTGAGGAGAAGGCTGGAATGCTGCTGGCACAAATACCATGGGCCAACATGAGGCGAAGTCCAAGTACCCAACTTGTGAGTGCTGCTGATCCTCCTCTGGCACAGGCCCCTGTGTGACTCACCTCTTCTACCCCTCACTCACCTGGGAAACAGGGAGTAAACTCCTCGTCCATGCTGCATGAGAACAACGCTTGAGACAGGGAAAGCACAAGTACTTCAGATCAACACGAAATTTAATAATTCCTCGTTCTTCCCTTTGCACATGGCAGTTGTCACAGCCCCAGATCTGAGCACTTTCAGCTGACACAATGTGCTCCCGCACCGCTATCTTTAATTGGCACTTTCCTGCCAAGCCTCAGCGTTTTGCGTCGGACTTTTTCCACGTGAGAGCTGCCACGAACAAAGCATCCCACTGACCCACTTAACTCCACGTGAAGGCACATGAAGCTTCGCTTCAGTCACCAAACAGAAAAGAAAACACAAGAGCAGAAGGTTTTGATTAAAGGGAAATGAGCAAATGGCTTCAAGGGCCATGGAGTGCACACTGGCTCGTCTACGTGTGCTCACTCCTTGCAGACATTTGGCCACCCAAGG